GGGGGGGGGGGGGGGGGGAAATTGGGAAATTATTTTTCTTTGGTGTACTCTGAATGATTTACATATACTACTGAATGTCATACAATAGAATAAATTACCATTTGTTAAATAATTCATGTTACATCGTTGCACGAATTACCGAGCTCCTCGGATGGTGAAACAATTATTCCCACGAGATATATAAATTACTATAAATTCGTCCAATTTGAATGATATTAATATTCTTCGCATTCGTATGCGCGCCCATTAAGGAAAAGACGGATAATTGAAGAGAAAACATTGCATGCGATCAACATGCAACATGCATAATGAAATAGCATACGTCGATCTTCCACTATCTTAGCAAAAATATACAAATAAATACACGAACAGGTAGAATATTCATTACAGAAAAATTTATAACTGATGGGATCTCTTTACTCGTTGTTCGCTAGAACGACGAAAACGCAAAAATCCCATCCAAAATGTTCGGACCAACCAATTATACAAATGCAACAAAGTTAGTATAATCTCACCCCTGTTTCCTGCCTCCTTCCCTCGATGAAACGAATTACATTAGGCTGATTTCCATGGCTGTCCTCTTCAATTACGACGCAACAATAACGTGCTTTGGGAGTTTGGGGAAAGGGGGGGGGGAGGAGACATAAAGACGAAACCTTGGCTAATGGGGAGTGAAAACGTCGATAAATTGGACAACTCGGTGAATGCTGGAAATTCAATGAGAGGTCGAAGAGAAGGACGCCAAGTATTAAACAATATATATAGACATTCTATTAGACAGATCATCTGGCTGGTACGTACGGGAAATAACCGTGAAGGAAAAGGTAAAAGTAGGAGATGAAAATCCTCATCGAGGACGTTTATCGATTCCGTTGAACGCTAAACTGAGCGTATCGCGCAGAATTTCCACCGTGAGAACGCGCCTGCAAATTTTGAATCGGGTTGAAACGAATCACGGTTGAAACGTAACTCGAAAAACGTCGTCTCGGGGAGAAATTTCCCAGCAATTACGACAATTCTCGCAGGGTAAAACATAGTGGTCGTTCCGAGGAAGCGAATTATTACCTCTGGCGTCCGCCATTTGATTGATTGATTGCTTTATACTTTGTTTGCGCTACGTTTCTGCTCCCCGAAATAACGAAATAATGCTCGAGGGAACACGATCATTCGTGGAGTACGCGCGCGAGTGTCCGCCCTGAACAAGTCGGGCTTGTTCAGTCGCGAATTGGAAACTTGGCTTCTCTTTCGGGGCGCTGAATACGGCCAATTAACGGGGCATCAAACTTCCCCGCGCAATTAAGGCCGATCTCAATTAAGTGCGTTCTGCTTCTAATTTATACGAAACGATCCTCTTCGTTCTACCTCGATGCTTGGTTCCTGTTTCCTTTTTTTTTTTTTTTTTTTTTTTTTTTGGTGAAAGAAAAAATCAAGTTTTCGACGAGTGTTCTTCAAATCTCCGACGAATTTCAATTTGGGGAATTAATTTGGGATCTCTTTACATCGTTGCAATTATTGAATCAAGTTAAGCAAGTTAAGCAATTCAGAGATATCAGAATTCATCTAACAAATTGAAAATAACGAAAGATCCAAATGAGTAACGATTCGAAATGTAAAGAAAGGTAGAAACCGCGACCAAGTGAATTAAAGAAGAAACGAAGCGGCTCAAAGAAGCCTAAAAACCTAAACGACATCGCTCGAGGGTAAACAATTCTCACAAAAGTTTGGAAAAATCCCAACCGCTGAAACAACGTCGTTGCTCGTCCTCTTATCCATAAATGATCTGAAATCATTGTTGTTGGCGAAAATTTCCCGGAATTCGCAGGCTATAGGCTGGCCCGAAGCACGGGATAAACTCGGTACACCGATACTATTGATTTTGCGAGAGGTGCAGAAAGAAGGGCGGCGGAGAAAGTAGAGGGTGAGCGAGGTCAACCCCCTTTTCAGGCTGGTGTTCGGCATAAAATAGGGCTTTTCCGGGCTTAGGCCGGTTTATCCTTTAACGTTGTTCCTCTGCGGTAAACCGAGCCGGAAAAAATTGATTTTTAACCCTGCGCCCAAACCGCCTTTGTTCTTATTTCGTTGAACTCTCCTCCTGCCCCCTTCGAACGATCGGCTCCTCCTA